ATCCTCGAATGTCAACATTTTGGAAATCTATTTTATTGCACTAAACTAACATTTATATACCTATACATCATGCTATGCTGTTATTTTCCCCATTTTCAATGCTAAAACAACAATTTTTAACGATCTGTTGATGGTTTCTGCCTAAAAAAATTTCCGAAATCGTAAACTTTGAAGGCTGATTTTTCAAATATTGTTTTTGAAACAGCTGTATGTTTAAACTTCATAACGAAATGTCAGATTTAAATGATTTTTTACCATTTTATAGCTCTTATTTTACTTTTTAACCCTGTATTAATAACTAAAAATTGATTTTTGCGATGAGTGACTGCTTTGGCTTGTCTTTGCCACATATGTCAGTCTTATATAGCGCTTAATGCCTAAAGCCCCTACGCACTTCACATTGTTACCCCTGGTCATTGGATCAAACACGTATGGAACATATACTCAGCTCCCAGGCGAGAATTCCATAATACTGCAGATAGTAATCAGCGCAGTTGTGTACGAACCTACCAGGTACCCACTTGTACTCCTTGGTGGAGAGAGGCAAACGTAGGTAAAGTATCTTGTCTAAGGACACGAGCAATGCGACAAGCTTCGGTCTTGAACTCCCGATCCCGCGAATAACAGTCCAACGCATTACACGTTTCGCCACACGCCCCACAGATGTCAAACAGCGGTAAAGCAGCAGTAAAACCGATATGATATTATATAACCAAACAATTCAACTCAGCATTATATAATTTGTCAAAACATTTGTTACATCTTACTAATTTTGCATAGTATTGGGAATTACACAGTCAAATTCTACTCAAGAGTTTTTTGCATCCAAATGCGAAAAAATAAAAAAATTTCAAAACAAATTCAAAACTCCAATTTATTTAATGAGGAAAATTGTTTTTTAGATCATTTGTGTCCAACATTTTTCTCTAATGCTGTAGTAAGTTTCTAATTTTAAGGAAACAAATTTAACTTACCATCTGTTTCCTCTTTTGTGTGTGTGTCTTCTTGCTCGCTGTCACTCTGTTCCTGGTCTTTCAACAGTTGCTCAGCTTTCTGGAGGGTTGTTGTTTTCGCCATACCTTTCAACGGTTCCAGATATTCTATCAAAATCTCAAACACCTCATCATCAACCTAAAAAGTGCAATGAAAAATGAAATCAATAAATCAAGTTGTACTACAGTTACAGTAGGCGAGTCAAATGGCCGAGCGGTTAGCAGGGGCGCCGCAAGCTATAGCCATAATATCGGCGCTGGTTCGAACGGCACGCTCGCCTATGGTTCTGGTGGTAGAACAACTCTTCTCGGATAAGGACTATAATCTGTAGGCCCAGTGTATACAATGGCTCGTGTGCACTATAAAAAACCTAGTCCACCATTCGAGACGAGTAGGGGGATACCCCGGTGTACTAAAAAAACAGACATCCCCTGTGGTGGACAACAAGAGTTGCTGGTACCGGGTAGCACAGACACGAAGGGACCCTTAGGGGTGAAGAAAATCATTGATCAAGTTCCTAGTCCACATTTCAAGCGCCCTGAGCATCTTACATTAGATGGAGTTGTGCGCTATATAAAACTACACTATTATTATTATTATGCACAAAAAAATTATAATCAAAATGGTGCAATGTAATAACCATAGTTAAGTAGTCATGCCTACGACATTAAAAAATCTGTTCAGTCGAGTTGGCAGCAGATAGACTGACAACCACACTGGCCAATAGGAGATCATAATTTGTGCCAAAATGATCAATTTCCACAATATAAATTAATTTACTTGTAAGGCCCAAGGTATACAAGAACAGAGTGATCTACCTAACATCAAACTTGCCACTTAGGAGCATTGGCTGTAACAAAGAGGTCTAAAGCCCCTGGGACCCTGCTATTCTGGATGTGTATTTGACGTTTTATGAAGTATTTTGATGGGTTTGTTTACACATTGATTGCCTGCTCGGTCAATGTATGGGGGAAAAACTGCTGATAAACATCCCTGGGGCCCTTTAAAGCCGGGAACTCACTGTGTTATACAACGGTTGCACGACTGCGACACAACAAATCCAATCAAACATCTGCGAGTGGTAGATGACGTGAAGCTGTCTCCTGACTGTCGGTGGCAGTCTGATCTGTTGCACGCATGTCTTCAAGTTGCGTTCTTCATAGAATCGCGTCGGCTGACGACCATCTGGCACAGTGCGTACCCGGCTTAAGGCCCCTTGCTTTAGCTAGTGAGAGCTCATAGCTGTCTGCTTAGCAGACTACCAAGGAGAGAAAGATCAAAGCTAGGAGGAATAACTTCCTTACATTTTACAAGAAGTGTATTTTATAGGTAACCACCAAGGTTTTAATTACCTAAATTTAATGTTTGCATGACTTTTAAATATGACTATTTTTATATTAATTTTTATTTTACGACATTGAAATTATTTTATATTTGGAAATTTTGTTTTTAATCCTGTTAATATCCCATTTTATCTCTTTTATCTCGTAATTTATCATTTTAAATATTTTTACAGCAATCTTTACTAAATTTTTTTAACGGGAGTTTTAGGTGATGAAAAGTGTAATATTTGTGGAATTTTGTAACATTCTTAATTGTTATTGATTGTCTTGTTTTTTATTTTATTTGTATAGGCATGTGCCGCTGTTTTAAAAGTGTTGTTTCAAATAAAGTTACTATTATTCCTTATGTACCATGAATACACAAAAACTTGTATTCAGTAAGTTTCAGTAAATATTGTAAGTATTGTTACCATATCAACATCATACATGTTCCTTAGCAACCACACTTGCCGCACTTTTTGAAATGACCAAACATTTCGGAAGTGTTTCCACTGCTGTAGGTACTGTATTGCTAATTGTTTTGCTCTACTTTCAACAGCTTCTTCTTCAGCAGTTTCTGCAATAGGTTTTGTGGACTTTTTTTTCTTCTTTTTCTTTGACTTCTGTTGAATATTTGTTCTTTCTTGTTTATCATTGTCCTTCAATTCTTCAATTGCTTTTCTTTTTCTTTCTTTTTTCTTCTTATTCTTATCTCCATCATTTGATTTGACCCCAGTTTCTTTTTTCATAGTCTCTTTCGGGTCATCTGTATCCTTTATAGGTGCTTGTAACTGAAGGTCTTTGGACTTTTTGATTTTTTTCTTTTTCTTCTTAGCAATACTGATGTTACCTGTGTTTTCAGTAATTTTTTCTACGTCTTCCATTCTGTTCCGCAGGTTAAGATTTCATTTGAAATAGACCTTGATGAAAAAACAATAAAAGAATTAACTGTCTTGAAGATGTTAGGCAAGAACAATCTTTACAATAAAATTCAGTACTTCAATAAAGAGAATTAAAACAATACTAATTAACTGTCAATATGTTCCTATATTAATTAGTATTGTTTCAATACGTAACTATACTGCATAATAATACATTGGTTTATAGAATCATATAAAGGAAATCAAAACCTGAACTTATTTTTCCAAATAAAAAAGAATTTCAAACGAATTTCTAGGCATACTTTTGTATAGAAATGTATTCCCTGTGCAGCCTGCAGGCCTTACTTTTCAGTCCGGGGGAGGGCTTTCCCTGTCACCTGTGTTAGGCCTATCAACTATCTACGGGGGGGGGGGGGCCTAGGCTTAGCTAGATAAAAAGAGGTAGGCCTACGTCTAGACCTATATGTGTGTACACATACGATCTGAACCATGGTCCACACCACAAACGATGAGATTTGTTTGTTGTTCTAGGCCTAGTCTGTATATTTCATGCACCATTCAAGCTTTGCAGGTAAGATCTGGTTTTTGCTGTCGAGTGTAGGTAAGCAGGCCTAGGCTCTACCCAAGGCTAGGCCTAGATTTAGGCCTGCCTAGGGCGGCCCTAGCCTAAGGCTAGAAAGAAGGGAAACTGGGCCTACCTAGGCCTAGCCTGGAAAAAGACTCAGTGCGTTAAAAATCCTTAATTAAAACTCAACTATTGTGTACAACAATGAAAACAATGTGGAATAAAGATGATAGACGGTTGCCAAGTCAAATGTTGACTCAACCGAAAGGCAACTTACGATACTTCACATGTTTACTTTTCTGTGTCGAACATGTGCATCGCCATGTTTTTAAGATTATAGAGGGCGGGCAGCTCAATATGATTTGTTACTTTTTTATTTATATTGTACAATATTGGGTCGCGAAAAAGAAATTGACGGGTCACCTAATCTCTTCAGATCGTGAAAACTTTACCTAACACGAACGAAGGCAAACGAAATTAAATTACAGTAAACGAAAGTGCAATTTTAGTGTGAAAGTGCGTCTTTACTTTTGTTATGCGTGCATTATCACAGTTTCATGTTAAAAATATACTATCAAAATATCAGGATGACAACTTTAAAGTATTAGTTTTGTTCATTTCAATGTGTTAGGCTTTCAGCTGCAAATTATAATGAGAAAACATTTTTTAATTTAATGTGTCTGTGTCTTCGCATAACCCATTAGGAATTTATAATAAAATGTCTGTACATCATTAATTTTTAAAATTCTTTTAAAACAAAATTTATAACTTACGTGGTTTTGTTAAAAGTGTATTTCAAAGATATTTTTTTCCATTTTTAGGGTTTTACATTGTGATTTTGTTTCTCCCGCGCGTATAAAATGACGGACGTTTTATTGACTTCGGGTTCGATGGGTCGCGTCTGGGTGCTTGACACATGATTTGGGTCGTGGGCAAAATAGGTTGCGGAACGGGGATTTAGAGAGTTAGCTTTGTGTTAAAAGATCGGTCATATGGTTCTAAAAAAGTCAATTTCTTCTCGTTGGCTGGACCAATAATATTTGCTTCCAACGGACCTGTTGTCAGGCCTATATAAAATTTAATAATAATAATTCATGCACTTTGTGCAACCCTTACATTTTACTTCCTTTTAAAACTGATTTTCATAATATAAGTCTATTAAGTTGTTGATTTCTAATTCATGAGTCAGGGGTATGGAAACTACCTCGCATTGAACTTTTTACTTTTTAACAATCCTGTCAGATTTTAACCGACTTATTAATTATTGACATATTATTATATATGATAGATAGGCATATGTTACGACATACCGTAATATGAAACGCCATTCTGGGGAGGGTGTTGGGGTTGCATCCCCTCTTAGTCTCAGACAGTGTTCGTCGGACCAATCAGAAAGAAGCCAAAGTTATCTTGTCGAAACCTGTGAACTCGTTCTGTGTTAAGTCGGTCATGATATATTATGCGCCATACGTCACAGATAATTAACAAACGTCATTATAATAATTACTTTACAGTATCCAGAACTAAAGCTTCCTGATTGTACAGTCGCAAAACCGACCCTACCTCCAACTTTAATATTAATAATCACAACACAACGAAATATTGTAGTTATTAGACTGTTTATTATAAACAGTACAAACAGTTAATATATTTTATCAAATAAAACGTGCAGATGTTGTAGAAACAATATATTCTCACAGCATAATTTTATGAAAGATGATCTTCGAAATAACACCTGGTGCAGAATGGACTTCTAATTGTTAGACACGCTTAATATTAAACAGTTTCTAAAACATTCACCTAATATACAACTGTAAAGTATTTAATTTTTTTCTTTCCAATAATATTGTAAGAAAAGCAGCATTGAATAAACACAATTTATACAATTTATGTTACAGTCTTGGTACTAGTTATGTTGAAAATATACGACAACTTAAAATCTAAAATACATTTCATTTTTCTCTACCAACTAATTTGTCTCTAATGTACCGTACGTAGGCCCTATATGTGAACGCAACATTTTCTTGTTGTGTAAAGCAACACTATAACCATTTGTCAAAAAAAGCACCAAACGAACTCTCTGAATGCAAAAGAGTGAAAAAGGAGTATATAT